AATTGATTCTAGCAACAGGTTTAGTTTGGTTTGGTTTTACTAACCTAAATGTTGGTGGTTCAAAGTCACTCAGTGGTGCCATGGAAGAAAGGCCTGGCGGTCTGCTTCTGAAAATATTACAGCCAAGAAACCCCCATGGAGCAGTTCTAGTTTGTAGCACATGGGCCTGCCATGAGTCAAATCGACTTGATGGCAATGGGTTTGGTGAGATAATGGGGTGATGTTTATTTTCTTCTTTTTGCTTATCTATACTTTCTAGTTATTGAACAATTAATATGTATTGAATGTTATAAGAAGAAATGAAAAACAAGTTTTAAAAAGCTGTGATTCATTAAATACTTAGCATTTATAGATATAAAAAATATTGTTTATATTCTTCCCAAGCAAAGGCCTATTTCATGTAAAAAGTTGTGATCGCGATGACCCAGGAATTCATTATGAAGCTGGCATGTATGACCCAATTGCTTAGCTAGTGAGTGAGCCTAGTTGACTGCCTGATGTTCACATCTCAAAGTGGCAATGTCACTATAATTTGTTACATCATTCTATTTAATTCTCTCAACACTAGAGGTAGATATTGTTGTCTCAATTTTACAGATAAAAAAACTGAAGGTCCTCTATACTACGTTGATAATCAAGAATTTGGGAATCTGAGAATATCATGGGTCTAACACAGGGTTTCTCAGCCTCAGCACTGTTGACATTTTGGATCAGATCATTCTTTGTTGTGGGGGCTGTCCTGTGCATTGGAGGATGTTCAACAACAACCCTGGCCTCTATCCACTAGCTGCCACTAGCACCCACCTCCCAGCTGTGACAACCAAAAGTATCTCCAGACACTGCCAAACGTTTTCTGCGGGATAAAATCATCCCTGGCTGAGAACCACTGGTTTAGTGTATTCTGTTCATTAGACCTGAACACTAATCTCTAAAAATTCAAGATGCAAACCTGACATCTCAATGCCTCAACCTTACAGGAGGCTTAGTTTTTCAACTACATCTTTTTTTTTTTAAATCTTTTGTTTATTGTTGTAGCTTAAATGAAGTTTACATTTCAAGTTAGTCTCCCATACAAAAATTTATACATAGTTAATGTGACCCTATTGCTCTCCCCATACTGTGACAACCACCCTTGATTCCCCATGTCCATTCAACTAGCTCCTAACCCTCTCTGCCTTCCCATCTCACCTCCAGACAAAAGCTGCCTATTTAGTCTCTGGTATCTACTTGAGCTAAGAGGCACACTGTTGACGAGTATCACTTTAAGTCCCACAGTCCAGTCCAGTCCAGTCCCTGTCTGAAGAGTTGTCAACTAAACCTTTAATAAATGCTGTTGATTATGAAAACAGATGGAAATAATGATGTAATGAACATATTTGCATAAATATTTCCCATCTTTTGCTTTATTTCCATCATAATACGGATCAAATGAATGAACATTTTAAAGGCTTCTCATCCATAGTGTCAAACTGCTGTCCAGAAATGTTGTACAATTTACATTTTCAGTTGTAGGGAAAGAGTGCCTATCTTACCACACCTTCACCATCACTGACTACTACATTTTTTATCTTTGCTAATCTAATAGTTGTTCTAATTTATATTTTTGAGTAGACCTTTTGTCATATGTTTTAATGAGTGGTATTTCTTTTCTAACTGTTCATGCCCTTTGCTCATTTGTCTGTTAGGGGCTTAGCATTGTTTTTATTAATTTACCTGAGTTCGTTATATACTATAACCTGGATATCATAAATTTCTACATAAAAAAATATCTCACATAAGGCATTTGGAGTTTAGACTTTATTAAATGTTTGGACATAGGGCAAAGAATTTATATCACAGCAACTGAAGCAATCTCCAACAGAGTTCTAAACACTGCTCTTTTTATAAGTCATTTGTCATGTTGCTTTCTTCTTCCTCTTCTCTCTTCCCATCACTTCCCTATGCCTCCCCTTCTC